GCTGAACTGGGGAATGTCTTTCAGTCGATCCTGGGCACAAGAGCATGGGACAGATTTTGAAGGTGAGAACACAAGCCTCAAAAGGTGAAGAGCTGTAAGCTAAACACCTTCCAAGTAGCACAAATGGTGATGTTATAACTTAAAAGACAGGTCTCTCCGTTTTATTTTATTCCTACGTTTATTCAACCCAGAGAGGTTGTTGAGGCCCCATCCCTGGAGGTGTTCAAGGCCAGGCTGGACATGGCCTTGGTCAACCTGGTATAGTGGGAGGTGTCCCTGCCCATGGCAGGGGGGTTGGAACTCGATGATCTTCAAGGTCCTTTCCAACCTAAACCATTCTGTGATTCTATGTGCTGTTAGATCACAGAGCGGGCAACTGTCAACTACAGTACATCTTTATCTCAGATTCTTCCTTCACAGTCCATCCAGAACTATCTGAATATTCACCACAGTGTGCATCGTTATATTCTTAATCATCAATACTAAGATCATCTTTGTAAAGTCACCTAAGTGAAGTAATCTGCCCACAAGACCACTGTCTGTCTCTCAAAGCTTCTTTTCACACTGGTGTGGGTTTAACTTGTCGCTGAGGACAACTAAGTTATAAAAGGAGAAAGGCAACACAAAGTCATCCAAAAATTCTCTCATATGTTACAAAACATACTCAATTAAAAGTCAACCGAAAATTATCATGAGTAAGATTTCAAGGAGAAATTCCACCCTTGTCCATCACTGTAATATCTGAAAAGTATACATTATTTTCTTGTTATGATTAGCCCAATAAGAAATTAGAATAGATGAAACAAAATAATTTAGTCCTGCTATACGTTGTCCTGACAGCCTTAAGATCTCCCCTTGTTTTTGCTCCCCAAACCAACGCTTTTGTGAATTCGACCATTCAGGGAAAAAAAAACATGAAATGATGCCACACTCAGGGGAGAGAACACTTCTCTGTCTACACGCGGCACTTGCCACAAGCAATATAAACCAGCAAGAGTAGTCCAACTCTTCAAATTCACCGTTTTCAAACTCTCTGCAGCTCTCCAAGTGTTGTACAAAAGACAAAGAATTGGTCACTTCAGTCCATATAACAGCAACTTGCAACTTCAAATACGAGATGACTGAGCTTAAACTCCCAAAGCAATCCAGGGTAAGTACCACATTCAGCATACAATGTAAGGAAAGGAACTGCAGGTAAAGGAGCAGACATCAGCTCCGAGTATCCAAAACCAACACTCATGGCGAGACTGTTCGCATTTCATGAGTATCTTTTACAACCTGGACCTGTAGCTGAAAATGCAGAGGGAATAAAGAGAAACCCTGCTGCTTCACAACTTAATAAGAATAAATAAACAGTGCTTAAAAACTGGAGAGATTTAGACAGCCTGTGGGGCAAAGTAGAGAGGTATTAATACCCTGACGTAGCACGGACAGGATATTGAAGCCCGTGCAAAAGAGAATTATCCGAAGTAGCACATTATCTATTTCCCCACCTTGAAGTTCTCCACTTCTGCTGTACAGTTCCCTTCTCTGCTCACGCAAATAGGCACTCATGCTAATAGCGTGGGAGGAGGACTCAAACCTGCAATTAAAAAAACAAAATAAAAATGCCGTCAGTTAGCCATCCATAGAAGCATTCTCCTTGTAAGCACCAGTCAGCTCTAAACAAAAAGAACTTCCCTGCATGTTGGAGCAAAATTATCAAGGCATACGAAAGCACATTTTTCTGATAAAATTCTATCACCGATGCACCACATTCTGCCACCTCTGATCGATACACCTCTGCCAACAACCGCCCGTGACACAGACCTGCCCGCGAAGCACAGAGATGCTCCTCCGCTCTATCAGCTGGGAGCACCCGGGCATTTTAGTAGGAATAGCTCCCAAAACTGCTAAAATCCAAACCAAAACCATCAGCCAACACCATTTAAATCACTAATTGGCATATACATAAAAATTAAAAGTTAATATTCTCCTGGAAACTAGGGAGTAATAAGTTATTAAGTACTTATGGTATGTCTCCAACACTCCACAATGACCAATCTGAGAGGTGGAGACAAATTTTCCAACTACTGTACCCCCTTAAATGTGATTTTCACCATTGATAGTAAACGGCCACAGAGTGGGCACTGACCCAACACCGCAGGGTTTCAGGACATCTCTGGGTTTGCTGTGCCCTGAGCTGGCTGTCCCTCTGATCACAAGTGTCCCATGACCGAGGGCTCGTGCCCGATGTGCCTGAGCTCAGCGCTGGAGACACCTCGCATGGCCAAGGGCTGCCGCCCCGGGCAGGCACTGCCCAGCAAACACCAGCCCTTCGTGTGCCCGGGCTGGGCGCTGGGCAGCTCTGCCACTGGTGCTGGGCACCAGGGAGAAGGGAGCAGGCGGTGGGGACAAAGCATCTTTGATAGCCAAAGCAGATGCAAGACTTAGAGGGAAGACATCTTAGAGGGAGAACATCAAACTCCTCAAGGTGTAGACCTCAAGACATCAATGATTTGCTGTAACACCCGTCGCCCCCTCCCCAACCCTTTTGCTAAGGAAGACCGATCAGCCTCAGTGCCGCCACGAGGGACACTGGGAAAACGAGCATCACACCAGAGAAAAGGGGCGAGCATTTGTGAGCTTTCTTGTTAACGTTATTACTGTTAATGAGGCTTTTCTGCCCTAATTTGGACTGTGAGTGTTAGTATTATTGCAACTGAACTAATAACCATCTATCAAAATACAGCAAATACTTCAGACTTTAATTAAACGAACAGTAAATTCTTGGCTCCACATTTATTACGTGCTGCCTTGTGCCCCTGGTGAGATATTAAGCATAACATTATCGCCGTGGCCCAGAGGTCTTCTCCAGGCAGCAAAACCAGATGCTTCAGGTCAAGGCAAACTACAGCAATAAACCACAGTCTCCTCCTCGAGGAAGCGACTCCGATTATTCCCGAGTCCTGCACTGGCTTCGGCTGCAGCATCTCATCACTTCTTTCCCACAGCCATCCAGTTTCTCTCCCCTATTTCCCCTCCTCTGCCGTCTCCTTGATCTGTCGTTCTCCCACGTTTCTATTCATGCTTAATTCTTTACTTTTAACTCCTTTCCTCATGCTGATCTTTCCCACCGCAAAGCTTTCAAAACATTTTTGTTTTACATAGACTTACACATAATTAGAGCCAAGCCTGAGACTAATGCATCTGCTTGTACAATTCCCTCCTTTCCCACGAACGCCCAATTGCCATCTTGCAAAGCTGATCCGTAGGGAGATGGCAACCTGAACGTGCACTTGGCTACCTTTTGGAGGAGAGGAAAGCCAGGTTTATGATGGCATGAACTATCTGAATTCCCAAAGTACCCCTCATCTGATGTTTTCTTTTTTAAGCCAGCATTAAACAACTAAATACCTCATGACATTTTTTTTTAAATTATTTTTTTATTTTTAAATTACGTCCAATTTAAAGATAGGGAATCACCGAATCATAGAATAATTTAGGTTGGAAAGGACTTTGAAGATCATCGAGTTCCAGCCCCGCTGCCATAGACAGGTACACCTCCCACCAGACCAGGGAAGTAATGATTCAAAGTCTCTCCCAAATGCTAGATGCCAATTTCCAGACAGTAAGACCCAAATTGAGGAGTTTTCATTCTTCCCACTATTGCTAGAACAAATAACCAGCAAAAATACTTCGTATTTATAAAATCAGCGTACAGCAAGCTATCGTAGGACCCAGCACAAACACCTGCATCCATCTGTGAGTGCAACGTGAGGTGGAGCTCTGCCCTAAGAGACTTCTGAAGTGAAGAATTAAATGCAGATATTCTGATGACAAGTGGAAGGCTCCTCTGATTTGGACGGGGCTAATGGAAAGGCAAGAAAAAGAGCCTCACCGCCCAGCACGAAAAGCACTGAAGATGGGAGAGGAGACAAGAATAACACTCCATCAAACGTGTACATCCCTCAGTGGACTGAGAAATTCCATTTCAACGGAGATTTCCATAGATATAGTGACAGCTGACAGAAGACAGATAACCAAATAAGAGATCCCAATAAGCGCTGCTGTCACGGCGGCGTCGGCGATGACTTGGTGACAAGACCACGAGTGGTAAAAGACATGCTGCTCCTGGGAGGTTACGCACCTTCACTTTAGACAATTATACCCACCTTCACTCTCTGCTGACAAACTAACATGCAGCCTTAAACTGCCGGAGGTGAAACAGAGCATCCTTATTCCCCAAACTTAAGTGATCCAAGTACACCCAAGAAGAGACACAATGCGGAGAGGTGAGCAGCCCTATTTTGCTCCAATATACAGCTTCAAGTCAGAGTAAATGCAAAGAGTGTCATTCTCAACCCAAACAGCCATAGGAATGTTAAAAAAAAAAATTAAAAAATAAAAGGAAAGGGGGATAACACTGGGTTGACAGGGGCAGGAGGCACTTCTGAAATCCTCCAGGCAACAGTTAACCTTCTGATAACAGAAGGTTGCACGGACAGCTCATCCTGCGAGAGGGAGAGCCGGCAGTGCAGGAAACTTCGATTTCCAACCAGGGCCATAGGAACTATGAGAATACAGCCACCAGATACACACACCCATGGGGCAAAGCACACGGAGGTCTGGATAATCCAGAAATAAGTTTTAGCTGAAAAAAAAAACCCTACAACCCTACAACCAACCAACCATCTGTAAAGAGGATGCAGAACACAAAGCTGCCCTCCCACTTGCCTGAAACAGCACATTACTCTCAG